TATATATATATATATATATATATATATATATATATATATATATATATATATATATATACTTTGTTTTTATTTACATACTTTAACATGAATCACACTTTTTGCATTAAATATCTTGAGTAGTTTTTATTTTATCAGAAAACATTTATTTATCTTCAGCATACAATGTGACAGACTTTTACACAAAGATTAGAGAGACAGACTTTTATGTAACACCAAAACCTCCAACCTGTCAGTCGAGTTCAGCTGCTGCAGAAATTAAAAGTCTAAAACTGTGAGTGTGAAGTGAAGAGGAAGCAGAAGAAAGTGTTGAAATGATTCAGTGACTCTGCAGAGGAAGAGGAGAGTGACAGAAAACTTTAAATACAATTTTTAAAAATGCTTAAAAATAGTTTCAGATATATGTCAAACCAAATTACATTAACATTTTAGATGAATATTTACAAAATAAAAATATAAAATGTCTCCCTATTAAGTGAACGTTACATCACCGACATTTCAAATAAGTTGTTATCCTATATTTCATCATATTTTATTGATTTATAATCATTATATTTGTTGCTTATGAGTCGCTGCAGAAACAGGAAGTAAGCTGAACAATCTGTGTCTCAGCTGTTTTCATCAGATGAGACCAAATCTCTGTTTTAACATCAAATCTGATCACACAGAAACGAACAGAAGTTCTGGAAACAAAGAAAAAGAAGAAAACTGTTAAAACTAAGTGGACCACATCAGAGCGTCACGCTCACAGAAGAACTTTTCAGCACTTGATGACGTTAAACGCCTCCAGCTCTGTGTGGGGGGTGTCTCAGGAACCAGCAGAACAGACTCATTCTTGACGTTCTTACTCCCCCAGAACCTTCAAATGAGAAACAAGAACATCAGAGCGTGAACAACAGAACCAATGACTGCAACAGCTGATTAAAGATAAATAAAATTAATAAATAAAAACAGCAGCTATCACCAGAAACGACTTTTAAAATTGTTTGAAAGTTGTCATGGCCCCATCTCTGAC